ATTTTAGCCCAGGGTGACCCGTGTCAGGCTTCTGACCTCCAAAACTGTAAGATAATAACTTTGTCAAAGCCACCGAATTTGTGGTAATTTGTTACAGCAGCAATAGAAAACTAATATACTCCTATTCCCTCCCTGCTGGTCATTCAAATCAACATAAAATCTAAGTGGAAACACTGACTTGCTTTGCAAACAACTAGAAGACTAGCCATGGTCACCACTGTCAACCACATGACTTAGAGTAAGTGCCTCCTTCATTGAACCTCTGGAACCAACTCTGGGGTGCTCCAAAGTTTGGCTGTGGTCCATCTCAGCTCAATCTGTACATCTGACATGGGAACCTTGATTCCAAAATCAACATTTCTCTCCAGACCCCACTTCTGAGCTTCAGGCCAATGCTGCCAATATGGATGTCCTAGAGGCACCTCAATCTCAATGTGACTGAGATAGAAATCCTGCTCTTTATCCTTGAGCCTGCTTTGCTGGTGAGGTCTTTTTGCTGCTATCATGGGCCTCCCATTTGCCCAGCAAATCTCGCCTTTTCAGGCACACCTCTTCTCTCCCCCCAAACTCATCCCATGCATCCATCCACTCTACCCATCCCAGGTACCTCCTTTTCCATTCCTGTTGTCCCGGTTCAAAACGTGAGGGCTGTAACCAGGCTTTCCCCAATCTCACATATCCCCTGCATTCTTGGGAGTTATCTTGCCAAAACAGCCTGCTCACATTACACCTCTGCTCCAAAATCTTTTAAATATGCTCTCTCGCTTATGGAATAATGCCCAAACTTCATTGGTTTTACTGAAAACCAAAATCCACCCTCTCACTGCCTTCCAGGCTTATCCCTGTACCTTGGCATGCTCTGTGAGCCAGCTACCCTGGTTTCCTGTGCCTGGACCAAGTCCTGCCTCCTCCTAACCTTCCTGCCTTTGGCCTTGAGTACGCTTTTCTGCTGTATCTCTCTTCCTAAGTCCACAGGGTCCTTTGATGGCAATTGTAGCCACTAGTAAGCCATATGTTACTACAGGCTGACCCTGTTTGCGATTTCATTTGTAGGTGCATCATTTTGCTGCGTCTTCCTAATTTTACTAACTAAACATTTTATTAACGAGGATATGGAGGCTTACAGAGTGACCTGCTGTGGTGCTTTTAAAATATGTCTGCACGTGGTTTGATACTCCTCCCTTCAAAAGGTGGAGCCTAGTCACACTCCCTTTGAACGTGGTACTTGAGCTGTACTTAGAGACTCACTGCTAATTAACTAACAGAATATGGTCGAAGTGCAGGTGTTTGGCTTCCTAGATTGGGTCACAAAAGGCCCTGCAGCTTCCTTCTTGGTCTCAAGTCTCTCATCCTGAAAGAGGCGTGAGGACACTCAGCAGCCCATGCATGGAAAAGCCCATGTGGGGAAAAACTGAGGCCTTCAGCCCCCACCATGTGGGGAAGCCAACTTGAAAGTGGCTCCTCTGGTTCAGTCACGCCTTCAGAAGACTATAGCGCCTGCAACGCCTTGACCGTGGCCAACAAGAGACCTTGAACCAAAAGCACCCAGCTGAGCTGCACCTGAATTCCTGATTCAAAGAAACTATGAGATAATAAGCATTTATTGTTTCAAGCCACTAAATGTTGGGGTACTTTGTTACACGGTAAAAGAAGCTAAAACACCCAGGGTCATGAGACTAATAAGTGGTAGAATAGAGATTTGAACGCTGGTTTGTCTGTCCCCAGAGCTCATGCTCTTAACCCCAACCCAAAGCTGCATGAAGTGCTAGTTTATATTTTGCTTCCTTTATAAAACATTGACATAGTCTTCCCTCAAAATCCATCTTCCTCCAATCTATACCTTTAAGCCCTATCCAAGTGCCCATTTATTGTGCCCCCAACAATCACCATATTTGCCTAAGACCCACCTCACTTTATTTGCAACTTCCCAGCTCCTTTCAGCTTTAGTACCTACATCTTAGTGCTGTCACTAAGATTAAATGAGTAATACATGTAAAAGTGCTTAGCAGAGGGATGACTAAATTATACTATTTATTACCTCAAGTATACTATTTATTACTAGTATAATATAATTATACTACTTATTTAGACACAGCATGTCTTCTGCTATAGGGATGAAGTCTCAACTCTGGCTGTATATTAGAACCACCCAGGAAGCTATTTTAAAAAAAATAAATAAAAACCAAAAACAACAATGCCTAGGCAATACCTTGAATTAATAGGTCTCATTTACGAAGTCTTGGGTGAAGCCAGGCAACAAATACTCCCCAGATGACTTTGAAGAGCAGCCAGGGTAGAAACCCACTGGATTAGGTCAGAGGTTCTCAAGCTCTGGGGCTACTTTGTTGGCTCCTTGCCCCGCTCAGCCCTTCATACCTCTGACATTTGCTAGTGTCTGGAGATATTCTTGATGGTGATGGCTTTAGGGAGGTGCTATTGGCATCTGGTGGGTGGAGGCCAGAGAACCTGCTGAACATTCCAGAATGCACACACCAGCCCCACATCAGAGAATTATCTGGTGCCAACTGTCGATAGTGCTGAGGTTCAAAAACCTGGATTAGGTATTGTTTCCCAGTTCCTACCCTCGTTCCTACTTGTCTGACTCATCTGGTACATCTGATACAAAAATATCTTTGAGAAGGATACAGCACCTGAGTCCTTGCCTCTCAAAACCAAATCTGGGCACCAACCAGCTTGGCCACTGCCTCAACTGGGCTGGCTCCAGGTCTGTCAGGGGGGTCTGTGAATGGTCTTGTGCTTCCCCATTTCCCTTCAGTGCTTTAACCTGTATTACAACACTCACTACAGGAACCATAGTTAGTTGTAAACATGTCTCTCTCACCCCCAGAGCCAGAGCCATATTTGACTCATCTCAATTTATTCCACAACACCAGGCTCTGTGCATTGCACGTGGTAGGTGTTCAATAAATAACTACATCAAACTAGATTAATATAACTTAAATTTTAACATGCTTCTTGGCATCTCTTTGGAAGGTTATGGAAATAGAGAGTACAAATGCCAGTTAAGGTGAGAGCTCTTACGTTTCTGTTCTTGTGGAGTTAAAGTGAAATGATTGCTTTGGCTACTTCTCAGTATATTTATATGAGTGGCCAGCAGAAGATAGCAACCATTTTAAATTAAGATATTTGTATAATAAATGACTAGGGATTTGAGAGGACTCTTCTTTAGAGAAGTTCTCGTATCTTTAAGATTCTTTCTCATTGGTTATTAGAAGTGGGAAAACATTTCATTTTCAAGGCAAAGCAACAACTTGGAGAATGATACTGAAAATACCTGGTCTTAGAAAAACATGCAAATCTTCCACTTATTAATCATTTATACTCAATACATTATGGGCCTTCCATTTTCATAGTGGGCAAAATTAGGCATAGGTTTAGAAGCTAAATAAAAAAACAAGGTTTTCCAATATCATTCTCCTTTCAATGTGTAGCTGCTCTCAGATTTTTAAAAAACTGGTAATGGGGTGCCTGGCTGGCTCAGTTGGTAGAGCAGGTGACTCTTGATCCTCAGGGTTATGAGTTCAAGCCCCATGTTGGATGTGGAGATTACTTTAAAAAAACTCTTTAAAAAACTGGTAATACCTGGGGTACATTTAATTCTCAAAATTAAGAAAGTCAGTCAACAGTCTATTCAACTTGGCATTCTCAAGAAGGGTGATTTAAGTAAAAAAAAAAATAGTGTCATTTGAGGGTTAAGGGTCTAATTTAAGGTCTTTTATTTGGTTTAATATGCGGTTTTGCAAGGCTCACTTAATTTTCTAATGCCTCAGTTTCCTGACATTATTCTTGCGAAGGGCTGGCATGAAAACATTTCAAAGCAACAGGTTAAATATATATCATTTTCTCTAAATGGAGCTTTCTTCCACCTATGCCTTAAAATAGTGGACCACTGCTTAAATGTCATCTTCCAAGTGAGATCTTCCTTGACCACCCTACACAAAAATTAAGCCCCCTCAACACTCTGTATTCCCCCCTCTCTGCTTTATTTTTCCCTATAGCACTTAATTGTTTGTTTATTGTCTGTCATCCCTCACTAGGATATAAATTCCATTTAGGCAGGGATTTGGGGCCACTTTGTTCAATGCTTTACCTCCAGCACCCAGAATGATGTTTGGCACATCGTAGTACTCAATAAATATTTATTGTATGAATGAGTCCATTATGCAAATTTAGAAATGAAATATATTATAACACCATCAAAGGCATGAATTAAATGTAACTGAATCAACAGGGCTAGATCTCAAAAGCGTATAAACAAGTCAAATAAAAGCAAGTTGCAGAATAATGCATAAATTTCCTCATCTGCAAAATAGGTCTGGTAATGGCATTGTTATGAGGATCAAGTTAGTTTATTAGTGTTAAATGCTGAGAACAATGACACAAGCATTCAATAAATGTTATTTGCCATCATCATCATTACACTGATGAAAATTCACTCACAGCAGCAAATAGTACTACTAATTTTTTATGATATAATCTAATTTTACATAAACAACCAATTTTAAGAACTCTGGAAGGATGCACTATAGACTAAACTGATTATGTTTGTGAGGAGAGAAGACTCATATTAGAATGATGGTCAAAGACAGTTTTAACTTTATCTGTCATGTTCTAGTATTTTAAATGTAGAATTGATGCATACAACTAAAAATTAATATTTAGAAAAGTTTAATCATATTTCTTGAGACATAACCTCTTGAGAGGGGGTGGGGAGAGAGGGAGAGATAACGGAGAGATGAATTACTTAGGATAAGAGTTTTTAAAAGTTTTCTACTTTATTTCTGAAGTGCTTCTTGAATAATCACCACATGGATAGGATGTTCTTAGCCTAGACTGAAAATAACTAGAGACAAGAGCCACAAATATAACTGACCTGGAGCCCTGGGTGGATTACATGAGTTAGTTGGATTGGAGAAAACTTTCATTAACACAATCTTAAAATAGGAATAAATTATTTGAGGTCTTGTATTGGTACTTACTGATGCTTCAGCCACTGGTCCACAAACGGAATGGAGAAGAATTCTGTGAAAGCCTCCCTTATCCTCTTTGGATTTTGACTGGTAACGATGCCATATGTTTGATTGACAAGAAAACAATAAGCAAAAATTCAAGTCAATTGTTGCTATTCTGCTTGCAAATTAACACTATTGAATCCTTAGGGTCATTGAATATTCAAAGACATGCAAAACTTACTTGTATAACCACTCGGTCAGAAAATCACAGGCAATGAATTTGGTTCTTTTTCTCTAAAAAGAAAGAGAAGAGAGAATTAAATTATACTCTTTGTCCACATGTCTGAATAGGACAAAGGAAGAGAGGTTAATTGATTTTTTTGTGTTAGGTGAAATATGCATGAGCCTTTTATGAGGTTTATAAGTATATCAACAAACAGTAAATTGGGGCGATGCAAAGACTTCTGAAGACATTTCTCTAGTCTTTGGACAAGCATATTTTCTGACAGCAGGGACTAATAAAAGTGCACATAGTAGGGGGCTTACTACATGCTTTTGGAATTGTCACAGAAGGATTTTATTTAAATCTGGACCTTGAGGAGCACCTGGACGGTTCAGTTGGTTAAGTGTCTGACTCTTGATTTCAGCTCAGGTCATGATCTCAGGGTTGTGGGATTGAGCCCTGTGTAGGGCTCCTCACTCAGTGCAGAGTCAGATTGTCCCTCTCCCTCCCCCTCTGGCCCTCCCCCTGCTCTCACTCTCTCTTTCTCTAAAATATATAAATAAATAAAATCTTTAAAAAAAAATCTAGACCTTGATTCTGAATAACTGTATTTATTGCCCTCCCCCCATCCACTCACATCCTCAGAACAGCACTACTTCAGGTCTGGCTACCGTGTTCTGATGTGGAAGCCAAACATGCAAGCGCCATTGGCCAGTGAGGCCAACCTGGCCAGTTGTCCACCCAACAGCCACTCTCCACTTCATCCTTATAAACAGAAACCTGATTGACAAGCAGCCCACAGGGGGGAAAAACTGTATTTTCCAGCCTCCCACATAGCAAGGGATAGCCATGACACAGTTGTGCCCTATGAGATAGAAATGAACAGGTCTTATGGACTTCTGCAAAAGTCCTGCTTTCTTAATTTCTGCTGTCCCTTCTTCCTTGAAGTTTCCTTCTACTTCTTTCAGCCTGTAAAACAGATGTGTGTCTGAAAGTGGAGCAGCACCTTTCAACAATGAAGCCAAAGCCACATGCTAAGGGTGGTAGGGCAGGGGGTTAGAAGGAGCCTGGGCCATTGAGGACTTCCTTAAGCCTCTGTACCAGCTTGGGCCTGACCTACTCTGAACATCCTTATATATAAGGGGAAATAAATGTCATTTGGTTTTTCAACTAAATTTTCATTACATGCCAGTGAATGCAGTCCCTAAGAGATAGATAGATAGCCAGTAAACCACAAGGGAAAGAACATCCTAGAGCACTTGGGGAGAAGGCATGCTAAGAAGGCAATGGGATGGACCACCAGGTATCTTGTCTCCTGGATCCACTGAAAGTCTTTGTAACCCAAACAGAACCAGTCAACTCCTTTAAGAGAACTGTTATGCAAACTGGGAGATAAAGGGTTGCTACCTCTCCTTTTAAGATAACAGGGGCTAAGCAATGTCCACAATAGCCAAACTATGGAAAGAGCCAAGATGTCCATCAACAGATGAATGGACAAAGAAGATGTGGTATATATATACAATGGAATATTATGCAGCCATCAAAAAACCCCCGAAATCTTGCCATTTGCAATGACATGGATGGAACTAGAGGGTATTATGCTGAGCAGAATAAGTCAATCAGAGAAAGACATGTATCATATGACCTCACTGATATGAGGAATTCTTAATCTCAGGAAACAAACTGAGGGTTGCTGGAGGGGGGGGGTGGGAGGGATGGGGTGGCTGGGTGATGGACATTGGGGAGGGTATGTGCTATGGTGAGCACTGTGAATTGTACAAGACTGATGAATCACGGATCTGTACTTCTGAAACAAATAATGCAATATATGTTAAGAAAAAAAAAAGAAGAAGATAGCAGGAGGGGAAGAATGAAGGGGGGGAATCGGAGGGGGAGACCAACCATGAGAGACTATGGACTCTGAGAAACAAACTGAGGGTTCTAGAGGGGAGGGGGGTGGGGGGATGGATTAGCCTGGTGATGGGTATTAAAGAGGTCACATATTGAATGGAGCACTGGGTGTTCTACGCAAACAATGAATCATGGTACACTACACCAAAAACTAATGATGTAATGTATGGTGATTAACATAATAAAATAAAATTAAAAAAAAAAGATAACAGGGGCTAAGAACCAAAAGTCCAGAGGTGTTGGTTGCCATGTGAAAAGATCCTTCCCAAGAAGGTAGACAATACAGAATCTGCTAGAAATTCTCTCTTTTTACCTCCAGGTCTACCCTTCTCTGCCCTGCTCTGTGCCTCAGGAGGCTGATTTTATGGTTCACTTCAACCAGGTTCCCTTACTCACTAGGTGGGTCCATCCAATGAGAGGTACCAGCAGGAGATCTGAGACAGGGAGGAGAGAAAGGCAGGGTGCTATGGATTGAACTGTGTCCTCTCTGACCCAAATTCATATGTTGAAGTCCTAACTTCCAATACTTTAGAATGTGACCGTATTTGGAAATAGGATCACTACAAATACAACTAGTTAAGCCCAGCCATCCCTGAAGGACACAGCAACTCCAAAGAAAATGAATAAATTTTGGGTTCTATTAGCAAGGACGCAGGGAGATGCTGCTGGCTAGACCATCAATGACAGATTCCTAACAATATTGTACTAGACCCTGGATCCAGCTATACCCAAAGCCCAAATCCGCTGGCTGATGTCCTCAGGTACATGAGCCAATATATATATTTTTTTTATTAAGTCAGTTTGCATTAGGTTGTTTATTGCTTACAACAGGAAGAGTTGTAACTCCTATTCCTTTCTTCTCTAATTGGCTAACCCCCACTTGTCCTTCTAGATGCCTCCATGAAGGCCTTCTGAGCAGACCGAAGCCTCTCTTCAGTCTAGAGTAGGCTCCCCCAGTTCCCTGTGTGCCCCTGTCAGAGCATCTCAGACATAACGTAACTGCTGGCCCACATGTCTATCTACCTCACTGAACTATAAACTTTCTGAGGACAGGGCATATGTCTCTTTTCCTTATATTCTCAGGACTTATTTGAGTGCCTTGCATGGAGTAGGTGATCAATGGGTGGTGACTAATTCAACTCGCCATTCAACTCTCAAACATCAAAGCAAGAAAGAACTCATTTACAAGAATTCTGACATTTAAAAACAGGAATTGCTGATATAATTCTGGACAATTTCTCTTCATTTTCTTCTCATAATATTTTACCATGAAAATTTTCCTACTTTTTTTCCCCCTTCACTTCAAAATAGCCAACTCAGTTTTATAACCTTAGATAAGGTTGAAAAGATGGTTGTGAAATTGATTCTCACCAAAAAGGAAAGCACTGCTTAAGATTTTTTACTGAAAGCTTTACTCCAGCTGTTAGTAAATAAAATATGGTGGTGCCTGAGTTACTGGAGGTTGTTTGCAGTCTTTTACCACCTTGATGATAGCCTTTTATTAAAAAATTGAAATACTCCTGGCCAGGGTAATAAAATTAAATGTACCAGCCCATGGAAGGGGTTTCCTAAGCCTGCCTTGCAAGAGTAGGTTATCCCTTCAAAAAGCCATCTTTAACCAAAATAAGAAAATACTTATACGACAATGCAAATATGTATCTAGCATGAATTGCCATATAATAATTTAAACAATTTAGCAATTGTAAGATGGCAGTGTCTCTCTCTCCTGTCCTACAAAAGATGCATTGTTCCCCTGGCATTTACCGCACCGTTTGGTGGTAAAGATTTCTTCTACCAAGGGAATGCAGCTTGACTTTCTCTATTAAACAGACTTTTAAAATAGCCAAATGGTCTGATGTATGAAGGTCATGCAGACAGATTTAATCACTTTTGATGCAAAGAAATAAAATGGAAGAAATTATGTTTTCCTTCTGTTCTGGGCAAGTGTGGACGTGCCGTGCATACTCAGACACATGGAACAGTGGGGATATTGTTCAGCTGTTGTTTAGTTTAAAAATTATCTGCCAGGGAGCTGAAAAAGAGAAGGGAAAGCAAATGAAAAGTTGTGGTGAGTGAAGAGATAAGAGAGGAAGTAATCGAGAGAAAAATTAAGGAGTGAGATTAGGAAAGTGTGGGCACCCAGGGTTTACATAATGTGGAAAATACACTAAGTTCATGATTGTTAAAGGGTGAGTATGTGCAAGTTTGGGCAAGCAGAAGAAACAGTTAAGACCACCTCAAACAAGGTTAAAAAGCAATTTTTAAAATCCAGAATTAAAAGGAAAAAGACTAAATGTCAAAAAGACATCATCACGTCATCATGAGTCAGCAGCTTACTTTAAAATGCATCCAAAAAACAAGGTAGATGAATAGAGGGATGGACTGATGGATTGATGGACAGATATGCAACCAAGCAAATAAAGCAAAATGGTAACTGTAGAATCGAGGTGGTAAATATGTGGGTGTTCCCTCTGAAATTCTTTCAGCTGTTCTATATGCTGGAGAAATTTTGTACTAAAGTTTAGGGAGGCGTTGTGGCGGGGGCGGGGGGAGAACATCATCATAAAAGACTGAAACCCCACAGGGAGAAAAGACAGAACCTGGAGTTCAATCCAGTGGTCATGTTGGGTACGTGTATAGAGGGCAGACTGGAGGTGCAGAGACTGAGGAGAGAAACTTCTAGCATTGGAAAGGCACCAAATCTGCATCAGGTAATGAATGTAATTGCACCCCAGAAAGGTCAAAAGCACATGCTGTGAGGTTAGTGAATTGAAGTGTGGCTTGCTATGGCATTGTGTTCGTTGAGACTCTTTGGGTTTGCAAGGGATGGAAATATGCTCGAGTTACCTTGGTTACTGGGTTTTTTTTACAAATCAGTTTAGGATAGATTTTTGCTGCAACAAACAAGCCCTGAATCTGAGAAGCTTATATCAACCATGATTTATTTCTGACTCACGATATATGAACATTTCAATCAACTATGGCTCTCTGCTCTGTGTTGTCTTTACTCTGGGACTCAGGCTGACGGAGCAGCCTCTCTCTGAAATATCACTAGTTATCATGGCAAGTGAAAAGACTGGTGAACCATGCTTTGACTCTTAGAGCGTCTGTTTGGAAATGACGTATGTCATGTCCATACATTGCTTTGGCCAAAGCAGTC